CATCATCATCATCATCATCATCATCATCATCATCATCATCATCATCATCATCATCATCATTATTGATGATGATGATGATGATGATGATGATGATGATGATGATGATGATGATGATGATGATGATGATGATGATGATGATGATGATGATGATGATGATGATGATGATGATGATGATGATGATGATGATGATGATGATGATGATGATGATGATGATGATGATGATGATGATGATGATGATGATGATGATGATGATGATGATGATGATGATGATGATGATGATGATGATGATGATGATGATGATGATGATGATGATGATGATGATGATGATGATGATGATGATGATGATGATGATGATGATGATGATGATGATGATGATGATGATGATGATGATGATGATGATGATGATGATGATGATGATGATGATGATGATGATGATGATGATGATGATGATGATGATGATGATGATGATGATGATGATGATGATGATGATGATGATGATGATGATGATGATGATGATGATGATGATGATGATGATGATGATGATGATGATGATGATGATGATGATGATGATGATGATGATGATGATGATGATGATGATGATGATGATGATGATGATGATGATGATGATGATGATGATGATGATGATGATGATGATGATGATGATGATGATGATGATGATGATGATGATGATGATGATGATGATGATGATGATGATGATGATGATGATGATGATGATGATGATGATGATGATGATGATGATGATGATGATGATGATGATGATGATGATGATGATGATGATGATGATGATGATGATGATGATGATGATGATGATGATGATGATGATGATGATGATGATGATGATGATGATGATGATGATGATGATGATGATGATGATGATGATGATGATGATGATGATGATGATGATGATGATGATGATGATGATGATGATGATGATGATGATGATGATGATGATGATGATGATGATGATGATGATGATGATGATGATGATGATGATGATGATGAGAACTGAGAACTGAGAACTGGTGCGAAGCAGCGAGTAGAGGTTGCTCTGTGTAGCTGCATCATTCGTCGTTTTCGGACATGAACTTTTTATTTATCGTTTCGCTCTTTGTACTTTGCCTCTGCAAATTGTTTGTCTAGTAGCATCTTGAATTTAGCCACTGTGTTCGCTTCTACTATATGCTGAGGCAGGTCGTTCCAGACATTCACCACTCTGCGTTCGAAACAGAGTTGATGGGCGACCCGCTTCAAATCCGGGACGATAAGTTTATACCGGTGTCCTCGCGTGCAGCTTGGTGTGCGCAGATGAAGTAGTTGTCTCAACATGGGGTAATCACCCAGATGTAATATCCGGTGCGTCATGATGAGGTCAACCCTCAGCCGACGATAAGATAGGGTGTATAACCCTAGTTTCTTACATCGGTCTTCGTATGGCATACCTCGTAAGTTGGGAATCAGCCTAGTGGCTACATGCTGCACCCGCTCAAGCTTTTCTACTTCGCCCCGGGTGATGGGACAGTATGCGGGAGTGCCGTACTCTAGCATTGGTCGTATTATCGAGACGAAGAGGCGAGTGGCAATCTCTTCGGACCAAGTGCTAAAGCTGCGCCTGAGAGCCCAAAGCATACGAAGGCTGTTTTGGTACAGCCTATTCGTGTTGTCAATGGACTTTAGGTCGCAGCGTGAGAGTACACCGAGGTCGCGCACGAAAGGAGCGGGATGCAACGGTTGTCCAGCCACTGTGTACGTTCGGCCGTGATCACACTTACCCAACCTCATGAATTGCGACTTGGCAGGGTTGATCGGAAGGTTAACCTCTGCAGACCATGTTGAGAGGCGGTCGAGATCCTGCTGAAGTAAATCGCAATCATTGAGTGTGCGGATTACTCTCCACACTTTCAAGTCATCTGCGAACAAAGCACAATGTGATTGTAGTAGCTGAGGCACATCGTTTATATGGATTAGAAACAATATCGGGCCCAGTACAGTGCCTTGGGGCACGCCGCTGCTCGATGGATACCAGTCTGTTAGATGGTTGTCCACCTGGACTCTCCACTTCCGATCAATAAGGAAATTGCTGATCCATTTGTGCAGCGAACCACCAACACCGCACATCCTCAGTCTGTCAAGGAGCACTGCATGGTTAACCTTGTCAAAAGCCTTACTGAAGTCAATGTAAATGACGTCAACCGATTGGCCTTTGTTCAGCGCTTGTAACCATTCGTGCCTCGTCAACAGTAGGTTGGTGATGCACGAACGACCTTTCAGGAAACCATGCTGTGCGGAGGTTAACAGGTTTTTCGACTCGAGAAGTTGCAGAAGGCTCTTCTTCACGATCTTCTCGAGCGTCTTTGCCAAAACTGCCGTCAGGCAGATCGGCCGGTAGTTATCCACTTTGCTTGGGTTACCACCTTTCGGGATAGGCTTTACGACTGAGCATTTCCAGTCGTCCGGTAGTAGACCAGTGGATAGTGACCTGTTAAACAGTTCAGTTACAGAAGGTGCAATTATGGTCGATAATGACTTGAGGATTAGTGGGTGTATACCATCTGGCCCAGCAGGTTTCGTCCCGTCAAGATTTGCTAGAATCTTGCGTACATCCTCAATATTGCAGTCCAGGCTGTTAAGTTCGGCTGGAGCGGTGCTCGTCGAACTCATTACAGACACCTGGTCACTTGCGAATACGGAGGCGAAGTGCGTTGCCAATGCTGACGCACGATCAGTACTCGAGGTTAGAGGCTGTCCTTCTGAGCCTTCTAACACTGGGATACTAGCTATAGGTCTTAGGCGCCGCTTCACATATGCGAAGATCCTCTTGGGAGCAGTTTTTGCGGCAGTTGCAAGCTCCTCTTCGAAGCTTCTGCGTTTGCTTGTTTTCGCGTTGTTGCAGCGATTTCGTTGTACCTTGTACGCATTGTAGTCCTCATCAGAGCCAGATAACACGAATTTGTTCCATAGTCTACGTCGCCGTCGGGCCATTTTGTTGTACTCTTTGTCAAACCAATGTGGTTTGACTGGCCCAACTTTCCGATATTTGAGGGGCACAAATCGGGCGCACAACGATTTCACTCCCTCTTTAATGATAGCCCAACAGGTTTCAATAGATGAATCCTGTGGTAAAGACCAGTCTATCTGGCTCGCTGCTCGAATGAGGCCATTAAAGTCCGCCTTCCAATAGTTGAAGGTTGACTCTAGTGGGAGAGGATACGGTAGCGGTAGTTCTAAACTGCCTATGATCACTGAGTGGTCACTCGCTCCCAGAGGCTCTAAGACTTGAATGTTATGTACACGCTGCTCACAGCTAGTCAACAGCAGGTCTAAGCATGATGGATTCGCGCGCGCTGTAATGCGTGTCGGTTGGTTGATGTGCTGTGTGGCCCCAGTTTCAAATAGCAACTCCGTAAACTTCCTCTCGACTTCACAGTGGCCGGGGAGAAGTTCAGCTTCAGGCCACTGTATTCGGGGCAAGTTGAAATCGCCCATGAGTAGGAACATCGGACGACTCATGTGGTTGCGGACATGCGGCAACCAGTCCAAACTGCGGCTCAGTGGGCTGCGATATACCACGCCCACGTGCAACTCGCCGCGTCTGAGGTGTATCGAACACCATAACTGCTCACATAGACCATCAGCGCTTTGATAGGCGCTCACTAGTCTCCCACACAAGGAAGACTTTATGTAAAGTAGAACGCCACCGCGATCATTTGATGGTCTATCACAGCGGAAGCATGAGTAGCCGGTGATTTCCAGTTCTTGGGCGTTTACGTCGGAGTTTAACCATGTCTCAGCAAGGCCTAATACGTCCGGTCGCTGAGAGCTTACGAAGTCGTACAGCACATCGCGTTTGTTCATCAAACTGCATACGTTAGTAAAGGCTACGCGCAGACCGCGGTAGGACCCGCTGGGCGCGCCTGAAGTATTAGCAACCTGTTGATCCGGATTCGTGGAGGAACCCGGGCAACTACTCGAAAATTTACGATTCGGAGGTTTGTTTCTCCATCCTCCTTGCGCCGCTTTAGTTCAATCATGGCAGACTTGAGTTTCTCTCTGTCTGCCGGTTCTAAGTCAGCGCGCACGTGGATCTTCATACCCTTCAGCCTATTAAGGCGAGACAATAGTAACTTGGTACTTGCTTCTTCGGCAAATGTCACCCTCATGGGCCGACTTTTGCCCTCCATTCTCTTTCCTAGACGGGCGATCTGCTGAACTTTGAGCCCGTCCTCATTTACATCGAGTAGTTTGTCAATCAATGATTGCAAATATTCGACGTCATGTGCATAACGCACCTGAGGATTAGAATCCCCTGACTCAGGTGCGTAAAAGACCATGAGGCTACGGCGCCTCAGGTCATTAGATATTGGTCTTGGTTTCTTCGATGTTTGTACTCTCCAATCGTTATCCTCAGTTTGTTTATCGCACATTGGTGATGATGGATGATGATGATGATGATGATGATGATGATGATGATGATGATGATGATGATGATGATGATGATGATGATGATGATGATGATGATGATGATGATGATGATGATGATGATGATGATGATGATTGTAAAGTCCAAAAGGAACTTTGATGTATCCCCAAACTTGATTGCTTACCTGAGGACACGGTATCTCTTTTCCCTGATTATCTTGCAAATTTACACTGCTTTTCTGTGTTTTACAAGCGGTTCACATATCGCATATTTATTTCTTACACTCCATCACTGACACATCCTTGAGGTTTCAAGGTCATTTTATTTTTATGTTACTGTGACACTGCCCAAATACTCGATCCGCCCCACGCTGGACAGTTTCCGCCCACTTGCATTACGATTGCGAAACCTATTCGTAAGTCATGTACTGTATTTATCATGCCTTATAGAACCACGGTTACAGGATAATACGTTTTCTTCTTCTGCCCAGACCGTGCGTTAAGTCTAGGTTTATCTGTTCGTAGTTTTAGTTTAGTTTTCGTACGACGTACTTAGTTTAGGC